GCTCCCCGCTGGCAAGTGGACATCCCCCGAGGGCTGCCGGGCTGCCAGAGGGATGTCTGATTGCCATCTTAGGCCCAATCCCCCCCGGGGAGCAGGCCTAAGCCAGCAAGTGGTCATCCCTCGAGGGGTTCCAGACTGCAAGAAGGCACAGGGCCGGCTGAGGGACCCCCCTACCCCGAGTGCACAAATTTTTGTGCACCACGCCTCTAGTTATAGTATAATATATGTTAAATGTATAATGCTAAAAAATATTATGAGGAGATTTAATTTTATGAAATCTTTTAAGTACAAAATTCTAATGTCTATAAAACCATTTGTATATTGATAGCCAAAGTAAAGATGTCATTATTTAGATAGCTAACAGAGATCTAGTATTAGATAGTAATTTTTATATTATTAAAAGATTGTCATTTTTGGTCTTAAGAGAACAAAAGACTTTTATTTTTAACTACATTAGTTGTAGCTTATATGATGATCCCAGTTATAGACTTGATGTGGATGGAAGTGAAAATGTGTTTTTATCTGATCTTGTCTTTATTCTGTTTTAACTGTTAGATTAACTATAATATTCCCCAAAGGAAAATATCCCAGTGTTTTTGGTTTTTGTGTTTTGTGTGTGTGTGTTTTTTTTAAAAAAACCTTAGCACACCAATTATTGTAAACCTCAGAGGAGCCCTGTGATTAGTTAGAAGGACAATTTATCTGTAACAGGAAATGAAAATTATTTAACATATTTTTCTTCTTAGTATTTCTGTAATTTTATAACAGGAATTGTGCTATTTGCATTTCTAAATATCAGGACTATTTTAAAATGAAAATAATCTCTGAACATTATTAAATATATTGTGTTAATTCAACCAGGCATATTGCTTTTTTAAAAAACTGAAGTTTTGGCTTCTCAGAAACACACAAATGCTTTTTCTGTGGTATAATTTTAAAATTGGAAGCTATTATTAATGTTTTGTGCCTTTTGAATAACACCCCTGAGAATACAGTGGCACTAAAAAACAGAAAAATGAAACTACAAAGGACTTCAATTTTAATATTCCATTTCATATAGGAGTTCCAAACTCATTTCTAGGATAACTCTTTAAAGAATATGAAATTTGGGAGGTGTAAAGGGCAGTGCTAATTAATGGACAAATAAATGGATATTGACTATTGGAAATATTTCAGTACAGTAGAAGGATGAGTTTTTATAGCTTGAAAACATTAACTTTTAATGCCACATTCAATTTTAAGTAAATAGTTATTACATTACAAATACATTTGTTAGGAGAAAGTGTATGTTAAAAGGGCTCACTTAAAATATTGTCATGCTTTAAAATACTCATTTTAAATGGAAATTTATTTTTAAGATGTATTATAACTCTCCTGCACATTTTATAATCATACAGCATAAAACCTATATTTTAATTTAGCACATGAACCTGAAATTTGATTTAAAATTACTAAACTAAAACTTATAAACTACAAGTAGGAGTTTCTATACGCAAATATATGATTTCCTTCTATATTTTTTTATGGGCACAAAATCAGAGAAGTCATAATAAGTTACACTTTACTAAGGAAATGCCCTGGGTTAATAAAATATCTGCGATGCTATATTTGTGATAATTGGGTTATCATCTAAGTATTATTAATGTAATCCAATGTTTTACAAAGTGTGTTACTCTACCTTTTAGCCACCCAACTTATGGAGAGTGGAGTAATGAGAAATATTACTTTAGGTGGAGAAACTAAATGCATCTGCCTACCTTCTTTTCCAAAATATATTCATGCAAAGATATTTATATAGGGCTTTTTGCCTGTCAAAACAATTTATGACATTCAGAATGGTTCTTGAAATAATTTTGTTTTGTTACAATGGGGTATTATGTAACTGAAAACAAGAATGAGATGGTATGTGTAAAATGAAATATTTATTCTTATATTCAACAAATATTTATTGAACAACTTCTGTTGTTTCAAGCACATTTTTAGATGAACACAGCAGTGAGCAAATCAAACAAAAACCATGGCCCTCAAAAGATTACAGATCTTGCCTGGCCAGGGTTGCTCGGTGGTTAAGGCATTGGCCTGCGCACTGCAGAGTCTCAGGTTTGATTCCTGGTACCTCGGTTGAGGTTTCTCTCCCCACCCCTCGTCAGGGCCCACGTGGGAGGCAACCAGCTGGTGTTTCTTTCTGTCTCTCCGTCCCTGATCTCTCCATTCTGAAGAGCATTGGAAAAAATATCCTTAGGTGAGGATTAACAAAAAAACAAAGAAAGAATTTATAGATCTTAAAGATATGTTTCTTACTGGGTAATAATTGACATGGATTTATAATATTTCCAATTATCTAAATCACACACAGACACACACTCACTCATCCACACACGTGAATTATATACATGGCAATTTTAAGAGAATC